TCGATGATTAGTGATGTTGAGTATCTTTTCATATGTCTGCTGGCCATCTGTATGTCCTCTTTGGAGGGATGTCTATTCAGGTCCTTGCCAATTTTTTAATTAGGTTGTTTGTCTTCCTGGTATTGAGTTGTATAAGTTCTTTATATATTTTAGATATTAACCCCTTATCAGATATATCATTGGCAAATATGTACTCTCATTCAGTGATGTGTCTTTTCATTTTGTTAATGGTTTCCTTTGCTGTGCAAAAACTTTTTAGTTTGATATAATCCCATTTTGTTTATTTTTTTTCTTTTATTTCACTTGCCCAAGGTGATATATCAGAAGAAAATATTGCTATGAAAAGTGTTCAAGATCTTATTGCCTATGTTTTCTTCTAGGATTTTTAGGGTTTCGAGTCTAACATTTAAGTCTTCAATCCATTTTTAGTCTTTAAACCATTCTTGTGTATGGTTTAGGAAGGTCGTCAACTTTTTCTTTGCATATATCTGTCAAATTTGCCCAACACCATTAATTGAATAGACTATCTTAATCCCGTTGTATGTTTTTGTCTCCTTTGTCAAATATTAATTGACTATAAAGGTGTGGGTTTATTTCTGTGCTCTCTATTCTGTTCCATTTATCTATATGCCCATTTTTATGCCAGTACTATGCTGTTTTGATTACAATGGCCTTGTAGTATAATTTGATATTAGGTAGTGTGGTTCCTCCAACTTTGTTCTTCTTTCTCAAGATCACTGTTGCTGTTTGGGGTCTTTTATGGTTCCATATACATTTTTGGAATATTGGTTCTAGTTCTGTGAAATGTTCCATTGGTATCTTCACATTGAATCTACAAATTGCTTTGGGTAGTATGAATATTTAACGATGTTAATTCTTCCATCAATGAATATGGCATATGCTTCCACTTATTTGTATCTTCCTCAGTTTCTTTTTTCAATATCCTATAATTTTCCAAGTATAGGTCTTTTATATCCTTGATTAAATTTATTCCTAGGTGTTTCGGGGTTTTTTTCTGAGGCAATTGTAAATGAGATTGTTTTCTTAGCCAAGATAATCCTTTTAAAATATCAAGTCCATTTTCTTCTTGGAAACTTCCTCACAATAAAATATGCTGTCCTTAAAAAAGCTATGCACGATTTGCCACCCCTACTACCACTAATGTGCGCGTGCGCGCGCACACACACGTACCCCTCTTACCTGCTCACTGACCCCTTCCTCTGATTTGCTTTCCTGTTTTCCCTGCTTCCAGGCACTCTTTGTCTTCACAGCCTGAGTGTTCATGCTTCTCCCGCCTGAAATGCCCTGTCCTATATGTTTACCTGGCTGGTAAAGCTCACCTTGTTAGCTACCACCACCCTCCCTGACCACATCTAAAACAGCCCCCCATGACCCTTTAGAGGGTTATTTTCTTCCTAATGTCAGCATCACCTAACATAGGCTTGTTTGTTTCTTGTCTTCCCCATTGGGAGGGTGTTTTCATGAGAGCAGGGCCGGTTTCTGTGGTTCTTGCCCTTTTCCACAAGGTCCTCACAGTGCCTGGTGCAGAGTTCAGTGGTTCTGCTGAACTCTGCTCAGTTATCCATTCCTGGTCCCTTTAGGACAGAAGTTTAATTCTGCTGGGCATCAGAATCACTGGGGCGCTTTACTAAAATGCACTTGCCCTGACCTCACCCCCAGAGAGGCGAACACAGTGGATTCTGCGGGAGAACCCAGGACATTTTTTATCAAGCTCCCCAGTTGATTTTGATGTCTGAGGTAACTGGACCACACTTGGCAAATGCTGCCTCATTGAACCAGTTTACATTTGTTACATTTCTCTGCTTGGTTGAATCTTGTTTCCAGTGAATCAGCAGTTCTTGAATTACCTAGGAACCTACATATAGATCTCTTAGCCCCACCCCAGATTTTGTGAATCAGAACTTCCAGGGATGGGTCCTGGGAATCTATTTTTTTAAAAAAAACCTCTCAGTGCTTCTGATACTGAGTCTGCTAGCCAGTCTTCTCACTAGCCTTTGGGAGCCCAGCTGTGTTTTATGGACTCCTCGAGGAGGTAATAAACTCAAGAGCAGGTGCTTTATGTCTTTTTGGGCCAGCTTCTCCCCCTATCCCAGGTTAATTCAACAGTATTCTGTAAGTATACTGTGGAGTGAAAATAGTATTCGGTAAGTCACTGTGGAGTGAATGCCTGGATTTATTCACAATTTCAACTTGCCTTTGTAACTTGAGTATCAACCAGTGTTTATAACTACATTTCAACCTTGCTCATGCTCGGACTAGAGGCAGGAAGTGAGTCTTAGTTGCCCAGCTCATCCTGGTGGGGATGTCTTTGCAGTCCTTGCTGTCCAGAAATTGAGAATGTGTTTCCCAGGTCAGACCAGACAGCACTGGGATAATGTCAGCCATGATCAGACTCAGATTCTAACCTACTGCACCTCCCCCTTGGACCTGCACTGTGACACATATGCTTTGGCTGTCCTCTACCTCAGGGTGCCTCCCTGGTCTCCAGACCATCCCCAAGCAGGGGCACAAGGCCTGACCACTTGTCTGGAAGTCTGCCTGGTCTGCTCAAGCTGCCAAGGAGGGTATGCCTAGATTAGACTCCTTCTGGGGCTGGTGGCCTTGCCCTAGGAAATGACATTTGCAGTTTATTCCTTGGCAGACTCGAAGCTAGCTTCCAGGTTCTGAGGACTCATTCATGCAGGCCCAAAGAGGTCATCTTGGTTAACCTGTTTCTTAAATACCCATGGGGTGCTTTGGATGACCAACTGGTATCCTTTTGAATTATGTTTGTGTTTTTCTGTATTCTTGGTAGAATTTATCAGGGCAGAATCCAGAAAGGAGGAGTGTCATCCGGGGATGCCTGAGAGGCACTTGAAACCCCAGCACACTGTCTGCACCTGAGAGTTTTGCCTCTGGATAAGCCATGGATTGCATTTTGATGCCAGATGTGAGAGGCTGTTAGTAATCAGGATGACTGGCCTGGGAAATCCAGTTCCCAGGTGGTAGTGCTTCCTCTGGAGGACTTGTCTGGGGGGCACCAAGGCTGCGAGTTAGTGACAAAGGGAATGAATTGACCCTAGACATGCAAGAGTGAGAGCTTTCTAATGAGACCTGACAGTTCAAGGGCCGAAGGAGCCTAATCTTTTTCTCCCTGCCCACCCAGTCTTCATACAAATGTAAATATGCCTCCTTCAACAAATTGTCAAATGTGGTTTTAATTTGTGAGTCCGCCTTGCCTCTTTTCTTTCTTCTTTCTCTTTCCTCTTTTTTTTTTTTTTTTTAAACGAAGACACAGGTTTTGCACTTTTTGAACTGGACATTTCCGTCTGTCACTCCCTCACTTTTTCTGTTGTCCTTTTTCTTTCAAGGACGTTTCCCCCATTGTTCATCATCTGAGGAATTTGGGATGAGAGGGGATCGTCCTGTTTCTTTAAGAAGTTTTTGAAGTTCCCATAGGAAATACATAGTGCTTTTCAAACTAAGTTTTACAGTAAATACATGAGAGTGTGATTGAAGCCAGTATGAGGCTCAAAGTGTCACGATCACGCATCCCACTTTCTATGCTCCCCGCAGTATCCATTGTTGTTATTTATGACCCTGTCTGCCTTCCATTGTGGACTTCTTCCAGCCTTGGGGAATTTACATCATTCCTAATAGCAAAAGGCTTTCTGGTTCCCACAGAGTTGTTCAAAGCCTGACTCATGCTCCTTATGTTAATTGTTCAGCTCTGAAAATACAGCACTTACAGGGTGTGGTTGTAAGGGGAAAATCTACTGTACTTACAGGGCATGTTTAGAAGTGTTTCACACATAAATCTCAATCTCTCTCAATCTCTCTCATTTAACTTTCAAACTGTAGTTCTTTTTGGTCAACTAGTAAGTCCTAGAAGGGGGGAAAGGGAGAGGTATCAAAATGCAGTATAATCCAAAAAGACCTGTAATAATTTGTTCACTAACCCTTAAAACTGACGTAAATTGTACTGGATATGACTTTGGGTGATGCTGGTCCAGGTCTGAGACCATAGGCAGGGCTGTGATGGGATGTGGGACACCCAGGCATTCCACCAGTGACTCTCCCAGGCTCCCTGGGGCTGTCATCATTCATTCCAATGTAAGTCTAATGCAAGGAACTCATGATAATTTACCAAAACTGTTCCTGTGGCAGCAACATTTTACTGTGGAATTTGATGGAGAAGGGTACTTGGTGTCCCAGAAAATGAGAGAGGTTAATGCTTTGTCTGAATTATCTATTTGCTAGCAAAAAGGGAACAATTCCAAAGTAGGAAATGAGTCAATATTGGTGAAGGTTGGGAGGTTTTCACACTTTATAATTGCTTCCTAATGATGCTTCTAGGGGAATATATAAGGATAGGTAGACAGATACTCTGTGAATTATATAAAGCCATAGTGATGCTGTTCATTTAAGAAAAAAATAAAAACAACACTCCCAGTTTTTTAGTAGCTGAGATTCTCAAACTCTAGTTTTTAAAGTACCAGTGTTAGAAGGTTTACCTTGTGATGCATTCTTGAGTGTTGCAAAGGCCATATTCTGCATTTTTATCACAAGAGGAAATGTGGGGAATTCTCAGTATAATCAGGTTCAGACCACTGTACCACCAGGCCTCTCTGGAAGATCAGAGCTGGCAAGCACGCTGTTGCCTGGCATCGTGGCTCTGGGCATCAGCATGATTTGGGCTCAGAGATACCGTGTATTGGCCAAGAATCCCCAGATGGTTTGGAATCAACATTCTTTCCATCACAGTCTTGTATGTTTGTGGTGCATATTAATGTATGAAGTGTGTGTGCTGAGAGCCCAAAAGAAGTGACAACTTACCAAAAAGTTGTAGATTTTAAAAAATTCAAATAGCCTAACACTGAGCAGTTTCATATAGTCCTCACAAAAATCAGTGTGTTCCCTGGGCGGGTCAGAGCATAACGGCTTTTTCTCCTGTTCAGCTAATAGATTTCTGCTTGAACCTTTGTTATCTTTTGGAATAGACGGGAAGAGCTCTCCACGGAGCGTCTGGGTATTTTGCTGAGTGTGCAGAGGGTCCACTTCCTCCCAGTGCAAAGCGCAAGAGAAGCGTTCTGAAAGCAATGTAGGTCCAATGTGTTTCCTTTTCCTCGAGTTTGACTGTGTGTGTGGATACATAACATGAAATGGCGAATCCAACAAGAGTACATGGAACTTAATCACAGCCCTTGGCACCAAGCCTACCTTAAGTCACATACTTGCTCTTCCACCTTCCTGCCTCTCTTTCTCTTGCTTTCTGGACAACAGGAACCAAAGCCTTGCTTCACAGGTGTGTTGCAAGGACTAATTAATTACAAGCGCTTTGAAGATGAAAAGCACCTGTTGGTGGTGTGTTTCATACAACTTTCAGAGTGACTACAGACAGCTCTAAAAAAATGCATTCCTTTTCTAAGGTGCTTGTTCCGACCCTAGCATAATTATCATAATCCTCCTGCCCCGGAAAGCAACAGTACAAACATGAATCTATATATTTCTCTCCAGACTAAAGCTTAGCCAAAATAAATATTTCAGCTTCAAGGTTTTGAGTTCAGTGGTTTAGCAATTTCTTGCCATTCACAAGCCTGCAAATATATGTTGAAGTCAGTCTCTAGTTTCTAAATTCTTCCCATGAAGCTTTTATCCTGTCCCTCAAAGTAATTTTCAACCTGTGAGGTTTGCATTGTCTGCTGTGTATGCTGTAGAAAAGGTGCGTGTGTGTGTGTGTGTGTGTGTGTGTGTGTGTACACACTCTTTTGTCTGCCATGTTTCCATTCTCTCTCCTTACATACTCTCTGGAATTTCTTCCAGGACATTTCAAGGTTTATTAACTGAATCCTGTTTCCAGTGGTTAATGAACAAGCCTGGACACCAGCTAAATGGTGCTTATATTTGAGTAATACCTTGAAATGGCCTGAGAGAAATTCCAGATTATTTTACTTACAAAGAGAAATCGTGTGTGTGTGTGTGTGTGTGTGTGTGTGTATAAGCATGTTTTTGTACACATACACATAGAAACACACATAAACACAACCTCTGCTTTGGATGTATTTGAGCATTTATTTTGGGGGAGGGAGGTCAATGTATCAAATTGACCCTTAATATCTGAAATGAATACCTGTCTGCCTTCGTTAAAATATGAACTCCATCAATAACCCAGGGATCAGTAAATAAAGTGTTTCCTGGTGTATCCCAGTGTATTGGAAAAGGTGAAGGCTATCGCTTGGTCCAGCCTGCAGTCAAACATACACTTGGGGATTCTTCTAGATTTGCCGGGAGATAGGGAGAAGGGGGCAGTGCATGCCTTCCTTTTTCTGGCGAAGGAAATGTGGTAGGGGAATTTGGAGGAAACCATGCCATTACAGCATTACAAAACAAAGTCTTTTTTTTTTTTTTTAGCATGAAAAGAGCTGAAACAAAAAGCAGCAGCATGAGCAAATCACAGGGCAGCAGGGACATTGTGGGAACATCGAGTGACTCAGTGGTTGCAGAGATGGCAGTGAGAAGAGGTGACAGCCAGGCTTCCTCCAGTGCCCCTCCGGAGTCCTCAGGGCAAGCAGAGGATTGCACACAGGCAGCTGAGAGCCACTGGGGGCTCTCTGTTCAAAAGCTGGAACATGTTCATCAGACGCAGCCAGAGGACACCGGCAGCCAGCACAAACCTCATCCTGGGGCGTGGTTACAGACGGGGCTTCAGAGCGGGAGCGCTGTCTGGAGCTGTGAGTCAGCAGCCCCGGGTCCAAAACAAAGTCCACGAGGAGCCCGAGCACAGCAGAAACGCAGGCCCCGCGGCTCTGCGCAGGGCTCCGACCACTGCAGGAGAGTCTCTCTTGGAAGTGACCGATTCCTCCCGCGAGAAATGAGGGCGGGAGCAAGCAAAGCTGTCAGGGTTTTGCCAACATCAGAGCTGTCAGATCCGGGGTTACTTTTGAAAGAGGATTTGGCAAAAGCCATGTCTAATGAAGAGTTGCATGTTTTGGAAAATCTCTCCTCCAGACATCTTATGAAAATTGAGCCAGGGAAGGCCGACCAAACCGGCTCAGCCACCAACACTGAAAGATTAGCTACAATCCAGGGCAGCCCAACCAAAAAAAGGAAGAAGTCTGGAAGAGGCCACTGACTTACTAAAGAGGATTGCAAAGTTGTGGTTGAGGGATATAGTGGCCAAACCTGCGAAAAATGAGAAGTATGTGTAGATGCTGTGATTTCAAAGGAATTAGAATGACTTTTTTAAAAAGAAAAATGTATCTCTTTGTTGGGGTTAGCTTTCAAAGAAGTCACCTCCAGAAGCCTATCTGCTTGTTCTAACAACATGGCTACCTTCTCATCAAATTGTGTAACTGCCTTCAGAAAATTATTTTAATGATAAACATCCTTTCGCTTTGTCAGAGACGACCCCCCTCCTGAAGAACTGCACGAAGCCCAGCCGGTATTGCTCAGTGGTTGAGCATCCACCTATCACAGTTCGATTCCCAGTCAGGGCACATGCCTGGGTTGCCGGCTCAATGCTCACTAGGGGGCTTACAGGAAGCAATTGACCAATGATTCTCTCTCATCATTGATGTTTCTATCCCTCTCTCCCTCTACCTTCCTCTCTGAAATCAATAAAAATATTTAAAGAAAAAAAGAAGGGCATGTTGGTACTGGGTACAGTGTATCTTCCTGCTCCTTGGTTGAGTAGGGGGGCCGTGAAGGAGCAGGCTGGTGGTTCTCAGCAGCTAGTCCTGCACCAACATCGTCAGAAAATGTGTTAGAAACGCAGAGCTTGGGCCCCACCTCAGACCTACTGAGTGATTCTGAAACATGCTCAGTCCAGACCCACCATACTAACTGGAGACTCCCTAGCATTTATTTTCACCAGCCTGGTGAGCGTGGCCTCCTGCTCATCTGCTGGACCACATGTGGACACGTACACACTTGTAAAGCACCTGAACTCAGTGTGTGAGTCACTGTTCCTAGGTGTTATGGCTGCCACAGCACCTAGAGAGCTGTTACTTACCCTAAGAATCACAAGACCTTTCACAGGTAAGTTGGTCCAGCGCTAGAAGACATGGCAGAGCCTTGTTCTTGCTTGTAGTTCAGGCCTATCCCTGCCCCTACCTCTAAGATTTTGGTTAGGTTCAGAATGGACTAGAACCCGCAGGGAACCCCATGGCCAGAGTTTCCTGTTTCCCATTTGGAAGGCTTCACAGACAGTTTAAGTTTCAAAACAGGAGTCTTTGATTTGTAGTCATATCCACTAAGTTCTCCAGTGGGCTGGCTGAAATGTTACATAGTGACTCATAGCAACAACTTATTTTGGATGGACACCTACTAAAGACTTCCGTAACTGCATTCATTCTAAAATAGGGAAGAAATCATCTTCAAAGCACCCATCAACTACATCTTTTTTTCAGTTCAACATTGGGTGGTCCTTTGAAATAGCCTCTCCCTAGTAACAAGCAAGATCAGTATATTCCCGAAAGTGTTGGAATTCGCAGAAAAAGCCCAACAAAATGTAAGAATATGGACGCAGACAGTGTAAGTCCATGCCTAAGACTAATCAGTGGTTTCTCTCAGTTCATTCTATCCTCCCCACGTCTCCTTCCCCACTTGCATAGGAGGGGAAGACTCACTAAGCAGCAACCATTTTCATGGTAGCATTTTCAGTCATGAAGTTCAGTCATGGTCACCACACCTGTCTATGGATATAGATGCTCTTCCTTTGATGTTCCAAACCCTGCCTGGAAACCTGTCCCCTTCCTGTGGCCCCAGCCTCACCACCCCCACTAGGACCATGGCTCTGCTCACTGGTATCTTTTCCTCTTCCCTCCTAGTTTATGTCCTCGCCCAGTTAATTCCCTTGAAATGATTCTGTAGGAGAAAAGGGAGCCCAACAGAATGTGGACCACAGTGAGCAGATTCTGCTCATCAACAGGGCTACACTGCACAGAATGCACACCTGAGCACGTGGTAGAGCGTGGATTTCTGTGGCCTACTGTGGGCCTCTCTCAGAGTGGCCAGGAAGCTAGGCCTGCTCTTCACTGAAGACAGAACCACAGGGTGTCACTGAGGGTTTTTAAACAGAAACAAGTATTGGGATGGTTTCATCAGAGGTGTCACAAATGACCAGGTGATAAGCCAAGAAACAGTAAGTTCCCTGGAACAGTCTAGAATAAAGACAGCCATTCCAGAACAGTAGCTTTAGAACTAGAAGATGTTTGAACCCGAAGCACCAGAAAAAGTCTGTATTGAGAAGTTTTTATTTCATTAGTTAACCTGGGCCTGATGGTTAAAGTCCATTTTTATACTTTTAATGACTTTCTTTCAAGTAAAGTCTTGGCTTTAGAGTTTGGTGTATTTATGCAAATAACAGTAATTGTGATGCAAAAGGGAAAATAGCATCCTTGGTGGCAGATGGACATGGTCTTTCTCACTGCCCTTGTTCACACAGGGTTTTAACAGGATTAACGGGCCCGGCTATCTCCACTTCCTCACCTCAGCATGTGTTTGGAGAGTTCTACCTCTGAACGTTTTCCTTCTCCATGTCTGAGACCACCCCGGGGCTCCTATTACTAGAATGCTCATGTGATTCTTTGGATATTTGGAAGTACAAAAGGGAAAATGGCTGCCAGGTAGTCTTGTTGCATATTAGGTGGGAAATGAAGAGTCCTCTATTGCTGGGATTGGTGTGTGTTTTGTTATTTTTAATAATCTTAGTAATTCAGTCACTGAAAATCTGAGACCCTGTCAGTATACGTAGTCAAAAAGGGACAAGTCATTCAACCGCTTACTTAATAACCCAGATTAAATGTATATTCAAGTCCCCGTAACTCTGATGCTTAGAAGAAATGTGGATCCAATTTGATTAATGTTATGACTTTGAACTCCTTAACTTCCTCAGCGTTGTGACTCCTAGCTCACCTCCATGTGCTTAAATGACTTTAATAGATTGGTGTTAGGTATTGCTTTGTTTTGTTTTGTTGTGGCGGTTGTTTTCTTATGTCCATAAACAAGAAATGTCTGAGAATAGTCTGTGATTTTTCTTACACATTTTTCTTTCCTTTGCCAGTGGAGGTTAACTGTCCACCAGAGATGCATATAAATTGTTAAATGCCAATGAGCAAATGTTGGGGGAGAGAGGAGTGCTGCAGCTTTTTTGTTCATATTTTTTTACTATTGAAAAAAAGTAGGAAGATGTTTCTCATTTTGTAAAAAGCAAGAGTCACAGAACCCCTCTATGTTTTGATTTATGGAGAATATAGCGTCTCTGCACGAGGTATCTCAAGATATATTTTGGGGACGACGTTAATTTTTTGCTTTTTTGCCATGTGTGGATTTTAGCGTGAACTGCTGTGCATTTGGTGGCCTTTGATTCAGAAAGAGCTTGCTGAGGGCAGAGCAGGAAGGGAAGGAAACTCTGCCCAGGAGAATGGCCTGGGACCACGGTGTCGTTGCTCTCAGTTTCCTCGCGTTCCTTCTTGGCAGGCCCCACTGTAGGATTTCCACAAAATTCTAGCGACACGCCCTCCTTTTGAGGTAACAAATGGCTTTCCTAAGAGCCAGTAACTCTCTGCTCAGCATGCTATGACTTGAATATGGAAGTCACTTCAATTTCTCTTTTTCTCCTATGGGGAAATGTCCATGCTTGGTCTGTTAAGACGAGAGAATTCATTCCTTGTTACTGAAACACTAATGAATTGAAACACGTTGGCACAAGAAAAAAAAAATCAAAATTAAGCTGATTTCTTTTAAATGGTTTAAAGCCTTCCTTGGTACAAAATAAATTAAGCATTGTCACATGAAGTTAATTCAATTAATTACTCAGAACAGAAGTCTAACCATATATATTATTGGAATTACAATTTAATGATATAATTAAAATTCTCAGAAATCTGCTGAACCTCCTCTCATTGGGGTTTTGTATTTATTTACCAAGACAGGGAACAAATATATGTCTATGTGTAACTTGACAGAGGGGACTTGAGTGGGTGAAATTGCCTCTACTTGTGGAGAACTACTCAGTACTGGGCTTGAATTCAATTACATTTAAATAAGTTTCATTAATCAGCATGATATTACCATGTGCTACCTTATAATTGCCATTACAGTCACTTATCAAAAATGCTGATACACTTGACCCCCAAGCATCATATCAGGAGACTGTAGGTAATGATTTGCCAGATCCCCAAAGTAACTTTCTTCAGTCAAGTTAGACAGCCAGACATTGCAGTAAGCCCAGGGGAGCTCTTCTTTAGCATTGGCCTTGCCCTCTCACTTGTTTAAGCGATTTCAATAGGTGTACATGTGTAGGGGATGAAAGCAGTATGTAGTGGAAATCAACCTCTTTTATGAATAAAAAGGAAAATTGTTTTAAAAAATTAAATTTGTATGTATCACTTTTCTTCAAAATAAGTTAATTAACCACGAGGTCTGTACATCTAAAATACCCTTTTCTGAACACGCTATTTAAAATTACATTCTATGTTTTGGAGACATTTTTTTTTTCTCCATGAAGCAAGTCTGAGATTTTGAATACTGGGTTAAAATAATCAAAGGAGCTCTGAGTTAGATTTAGATTTAGATTTAGATTTTTAAAACCCTGTGTGGGATGTGATTAAATTGGCCTCTAAGATTTGGGGGTGGTCTTTCCAACTCAGATATTTCCCACTTCTGCTCTCAATTGTGAGCTAAGATAGACCCTTGTGTGAGGGGTTAAAGAATTCGACCTTGATTCCTTTCCAGAGGATCTTGACATTTCCCAAGGGGATTCATTTCCATTTTCTACGTGGGTCTCGTCCTTATTCAGCACTGAGTGAAGTCCTGGCCGACTCCCACTGCCTTTTATGACAGGATCCCAGGCCGCTCTGGTTGCTTGTAAATATATTTTCCCTCGGGGCCTGTACATAATTTTTCAGACGCATTTCAGTATCAGGTTGGAATAATACATTTGAATAACTGCATGGAATGCTGAGAACCACGGCAATGGATGACGCAAAGCCCATTTCCTCGTGTCTTGGGCGTGGCGGCGTGCCACGTGGCCTAGCCCACAGAGAAGATGCCCTGCCCAGGGCCCCAACCTGGGCTGGGGATCAGAGCCCGAAAGATGGGCTCAAACCCTGGGTCCAGCTGCCTCTGCCACTGATTGGCTTGTGTGTTTGGGGACAAGTCGTTTAACAAGTCCTGGGCCTCGGTTTCTTCATTTGTCAAATAAAATGATCTCTACTATTTTAAGTGCCACACTTGCCTCTGAGGATTTCTGAGGTAAACATACAACTCCCATGTGATAATTTCTCCATCTGTTTAAAAACAGGTTCATTGGAATTACCTGTGTAGCTTCTACTTAAATCAGAATCCTTGAGATAATGGTCTGGGCATTGGAAGTTTTAAAAGGTCCTCAAATAATGATTCTAACCAAAAGCCATTGTTGAACTATTGCATAAAAATGTAGTGGTGTGTGTGTGTGTGTGTGTGTGTGTGTGTAAACACTGGACGTTCAAAGAGGCAGGGTCTGCTAAGAGCTGAGTATCCTTTAGAAGGATACTGTACATTCTAAATCTGAAGTGTACCTGCTTCACGAATAGGAAAGGCTTTGGTGACACGGTGGCAATGGCTGTACGGGTTAACCATGCAGAGAGATGTGTGCTGTTTTGTCCTAGTTATGCTGCTTTGGGCCCAGCGCACCAGCCCACAGCTTCCTCATCCGCACGCAGCACTGAAATTTTTCCCTCCCCCAGAAGATGAGTTTTGAAAGCACCTAAATAATTGTCTGGGGTTTGCCTTTGATCCATGATCATTAATATCATTAATAAGCTCTCAAAAAGTGCATGTGAATCTCAAGTTCCCATTTGGCAGGGCAGGGAAAGAATGAATGCTTTTAAAATAGTTTGGCTCAGAAAGCACATCTGAAATAACCCTGTGGGAAAACCAGGAGAATTTCTCATCCTTCGAAGGATTACCTAGGATGAGATGCTGACCTTGTATTTTAAGTTCAGTTACATTTCTTAAAACCTCATTCATTCCGCAGCCTGATTTATTTTAGGGGGTGAAGTTGGCTGTGGGAGGGGACTCTGGTGATGTAGTCTCATGTTTGCTTTTTGTGTTCACCAGTTCCCAAAAGATCATAACATATATATTTCTAAAAAAAAAAAAAAAAAAAAAAAAAACCAGCTTCTTCTCGAGATTTACTACAGCTTTTCTCCAAAAAAATTAGAGCTGAAGAATTCCCTCCTCCTCAGGCTTCTAAGGCTACCAAGCCCCAGAAGGCCGGGTGCACACGGGGTGAGCAGAGCGCTGACCTCTGCAGGGGAGGTCAGCTAAGCACACAGGACTCAAAGGGAGGAAGAAAAAGCAGCTCCGCAGCGGGGAGTTTGACTTGCTTTAGGGCAGAGGAGCTTTTATAAATAAGTTCTCAGACTCCCACGCCCTCTCACCGGCTCTTCTGTTAGTAGTCCTGTCTCTGTTCTTAGACGGGCGCGCGCACACACACACTAACACACATCCACACCAGCACACACACACACACACTCACACACACACACAGACTTCAGGAGACTCGCACAGACAGGGCTCTGACCTCCTCACTGCTGCGCAGCCCTCTCCCACCTGCCCAGCCTGTGCCTGGGCTGGCAGGCCCTCCGCGGAGGAGGCAGGTGATGGATTGACCGGGAACTTTGCTAGGCCCACTGGCTCTTGAGGCCTTTCCTGTTCCTCCTTAACATGCTCAGCTGGTGAGAAGAATGCACAGGGCTCTTTCCCAAACCCACCGTGGGTGTCTGGGAGGATTAACACCAGCCATCCATTGCTGTTGTCAGAGGGAGAAGGTGGAATGGCACATCAGAGCGACCTCCCGCCTTGATGAGGCAGATTGGGCAGGGCGTCTGGGATGTGTCCCAGTCAGAGGAGCCTGGAGGACCTTCCGGTAATGATGTAGTGAGTTGGGGCCCCGGCAGCAGACATTCCTCTGAAAACGGTTCCCTGGCGAGCCCGTTCCCAGTGCCTCCTGCTCAGTGCAGTGACCAGCCAGAGCAGAGCGGGGACTGCCTGGGCAGCACCTGGGGGTCTGGGAAAGCACCCTCGGTGGCTCTCCAGGGAAGAGTGCCAAGAGGGTGTGATGGCACCTCTGGGAGGAGGAGCTCTCTGGGTCAGACATTCAGGGGGTCTGCTGCTGGGGCTCTTATTTTGATGCTAATAAGAATCTCCAGCTGGAAGAACCTTCTGGATCTCAGTTAAAACTTCTATGACAAACTACACATCCATCTGAGAACTCTCTGTATCAGACTGGCCTTGCTTTCTCTTGAAGATAGAGTTTCTCAGTGCCTCTTCATCAAAACGCATGTTCTGGGTCCTGGTGGTGGAAATGATTTTGGCTATTGTTCCACATTTCCAAGGTCTAACTCCAGCTCACTGACCTTGAGAGAAGCCTTCTGTTTTGACACTGGCTATGCATGTCCATCAAGGCCAGCTGCCCATCATACGAGGGCAAACTTAGGAGAGAGGAGATGGTGGAGGAGAGTGGGTTTGGCATTTAGCTCCTTCGTGGCCCCGAGGAAGCAGCCACTGTGCAGAGGGGACCACCAAGGAGGGAACTGCAATGTAGGAAAGGCTGCTGGGGGTGGGGAGGGGAGATTACAAAGTCTCCAATCCACTGAAACCCTCATTAAAAAATCAGGAGTCCTCAGTATGTTTCTTAAGGAGGAAAACCTGGCCCGAGACTGTGTCCTGGAGGCCTTCAAGGCCAGTCACCAGAACTTACCTTATTTTGCCTAATTTTATAAAGCTATTGGGGGGCATGGCTATAGAAGAAAGGACTATGTTCTATTATCATTTAGAGAGCCAGCTACACTCACAGAGCCATCTGCACTGTGGCAGAATTTAATTGGGCACCAGGTCTCCTTGCAGTCCTGTTGTTCAGGGTTGTCTTGAAGGAGCTCCTGCTGGCTGGGAGGAGGCACTGAATTGATCTGGGAAAAAGCCAACCATCTGTAGAGTCAAAACCAAATGCAGCACCTACGGTACACATGACATAGCCTGGTACGCCTCTCTTTGGAAGAGGCCTGTGCTTGTCTGCTGTTACTGTTACCATCAATACAAGTTGATAATCAAACAGTTTCTGACGCCCTTTAGCTGGGTCCTCTTCCTGGGTCTCACAAGGCTGGAACCGAGGTATCAGCCACCTGTGTCCTCATCTGGAGGTTTAACAGCTGAATATCCAGGCTCCCACAGGTTGTTGGCGGAATTCAGTTCCTTGCGGGGCCCCATTGCGTGCTGGCTGGTGACGGGGAGTTCGCTCAGCCCCCAGAGGCTGTTCTCAGGCCGCCACTGGCTCCTGCATCTCGATAATGGAGGAACTCCCCCCCGCCCCCTGCCCACCACCACCATCCTGAATTTCTCTGACTTCTGTGACCAGCCAGAGAAATAGCTCTGCTTTTTTGTAGTTAATCCTCACCCGAGGATATTTTTCCATTGATTTTTAGAGAGAGTGAAAGGGAGGGGGAGAGACAGAGGGAGAAACATCAATGTGAGAGGGAGAAACATCAATGTGAGAGAGACACATGGATTGGTTGCCTCCCCAGCTCACTCTGACCCAGCAGATGGAGCCTGCGGCGGAGGTCCAGGAATGGAACCTGGACCCCTCAGTCCACGGACTGACACTCTATCCACTGAGCCAAACCCGCCAAGGCTAAAATGCTCTGCTTTTAAAGCGCTCCTGTGATTAGGTCCACTCCACTTGGATACTCCCCAATGTTTTAAGACCACCTGGATTCATACTTGGTCAAAGAGCCGGAGGCCAGGCAGGAATCCAGGTGGCTTTAAAATATGCGGAGTGGCCTTAAAATATCCAACAGCCCTTAGCCCTTTTCTGGCGGGGCCCCCCGCGCTTGGGATCTAGCTGGGTTCCGTCATCCTTCGGTGGCCTCTGTGTCCTATCACAGGCTGCTTGGAGAAAAGCTGAGGGCGGGCGGCCTGTCTTCCTCCTCCGGGCCTTTTCACGGTCACTAACGGGGGCACTCACCTACCATCGCGATTTCACGGATGCGCAAACTGAGACGCGAAGAATTTGGGAAACCTTCCCAAGTGAGTAAGTGGCAGAGCCTAGAATCCAGGTCTGTCCGACTCCAAGGCCCAGAAACTCCTGCCGGGCCACGCGTGGGTGAGCCCAGCGCAGCGCAGGCAGAAACTGCCAACAGCGGGAACCGGGAAGGAAGAGCTGCGAGTGGACTCCAGGAAGTCTGGCTCCAGGGTGCGTGCCCTTGGCCGCTGGGCACACGCTGCCTGGCGGCTGGCCGGGCCCACGTGGAGGCAGGCGCCCTGAGGAAACGCGCGGGGCCTCTTCTGAAGAGTGCTGGACGGAGGGCTCACAGGAAGCGCAGGAATAACAGGATTCTGGCGGAGGGGAAACCCGGAGGTTGTGGTGAGGCCTGGCCCCCGACCCCCCCCAT